TCCTGGGTTCAGGTGATTCTCCTGCCTCAGCCTCCTGAGTAGTTGGGATTACAGGCACTTGCCACTGCGCCCAGCTAATTTTTGTATTTTTAATAGAGATGGGGTTTCACCCTGTTGGCCAGGCTGGTGTTGAACTCGTGACCTCATGATCCACCTGCCCCAGCCTCCCAAAGCAGGGATTACAGGTGTGTGCCACGGGGCCCAGCCTAAAATGATTTTCTTAAAGTCACCCAGGTACAAGGATCAGGACCAGAGTCCAAGTATCTAGTTCAGGACTCTGCACACATTGTCACATGTTCTGTCCTACCTTTTGGGATGAATAGTTATGCTTGTTTTGTGATTACTCACCTACCTTTTTGGAGATATATGAGTGTTTTGTATGCTATTAATAGAAGGCAGCCTTCACAAAATGCCAGCCACAGATCTGTTATTTCTTCTAATAAAGGAAATGATGTAAAATTAACTTAAATAGAAATAGTGTTAATTCTTTTAGAGACATATTCCATAATCGAAACATGAAATATTTGAGATAAACATGCTACATAAATAAGTCCTTTTTAAAAAGATAATATTAAACATTTTTAATTTATAGAGATGAGGTCTCCCGGTGTTACCCAGGCTGGTCTTGAACTCCTAGGCATTTACCTCAGCCTCTCAAAGTGTTGAGATTACAGGCATGAGCCACAACACCCTGTCAAGTTCTTTTTTTTTTTTTCTTTAATGAAATTACTTTCTAATGCAGAATTTCTTTGACAACATCTGTTTTCATTTGCTCTAAAAAATGTTGCTTATAGTGCTTTGATCTGAGTTATCTACAACAAGAAAATGCCATTATGGATAATCATTCAAAAAGAAGCTTGTTAGCTTGTTAATTTTTAGGCCTGAGAGTGAAATAAAGTTAGCATTTTCTTTTTATTTGTTTATTTTAATTTTATTTATTTGTTTAGAGACAGGGTCTTGCTCTGTTGCCCAAGTTGGAGTGCAGTGGTGCTGTCGTAACTCATTGCAGTCTCAGGATTAAGTGATCCTCCCATCTCACCCTTCTGAGTAGATGGGATTAGCATATGCCACCATGCCTGGCGAATTTTTTTATTTCTTGTGGAGACAGGGTCTTCCTGTGTTCAAGTTGGTCTCAAACTCCTGGCATCAAGCCTTGGCCTCCCAAAGGGCTAGGATTACAGGTGTGAGCTACCATGCCCAGCTGAGCATTTTAAAAAAATACTGGTTT